GGCAGGCAGGATGTGTGTGGCCAGTTCGATATCACTCATGTGATGGCGGCTTGAGAGCTCTGCCAGTGAAAACAGGCTCCCAAGCTCCATTTCCCGCTGTGACGGCCTCCTACAACCCTCCGCCAGTGAAAACGGATCTCAGGAGGGCTCCACGCGCTCTGTTTTATCTGGGAGAGGCACTGTCACTGTTTCCAGGTCAGCCACGTGGGCCAGATATAAGCACACGCCCGGGCCGTATCCGGGCCGCGGGCCTTGAGTTTGACACCCCTGGCCTAGAACATCTCTCTTTAAAGAGACTTTACAATCACCACTCCTCTATGACTCAGGGCAAAAAAAAGACCCCAGGACCTCTCTTTGCAAAGGGCAGCTGCAGAGGACAAGGCACATTTGGAGCAAAGCACCCCCATTGGCACCTTTCCTACCCACAGTGCCCACCCCTCTTTTGCTCTCCTGCCACTGCTGGCAGCCCTGCACATTGCTGTGCCTGGGTTTGGCACGTCTCACACACAGTGAAAGAGAGCTGTAAGATGAGCTCAGTCCAATTCCAGAGATTGGGAGTTTGGTGCCACTGAGTCAGAGGAGAGGCGTGCGGGGAGCTGGGTGGAAGGGAGAGAGAGGCTAAAAATATCACAGAAGAGCAACACACAAGGAGATCTGCTGGGTGGAAAACACAGCCAGGCAAGGGCAGGTAAAGACACCCAGAAGGGACTTCGCTTCTCTCTCTGTTTAATTCCTGCTAAATATCCAACCAGATATAAACCCCGATTTGCTGGGGCTACCATTCCCGAGGGCCAGGATGCCCAGTAGCAACAAGCTACGAATTTAGACTAGGCTTTCTACTAGGCAGAAATCCTATCATTCAGTACACATAAAACACACAACAAAACACACAGGAAACACACTGATGTGCCTATTAATCCTCAGTTATTTCTAACTATTACTGCTCAAACCACACAACCTCGCACTTGCTATTAAGGCATTTGTTACAGCATTCTGTTTCACAACACCCGAACAATGAAATCTTGTTTTTAAACAAAGCCTGTATCTAGGAGTTTTGTAGCAGAAGGGAAACTGGGAGGTGGGATAGGGGAGTAACTGTACTCATGACCGCAGACGGAGGAATGATGATGATCCAGCATTAGAGACAGCTAAACTTGTTCCTGGAGATTAGAACCCAGACTGATCACTCAGTAGAGCAAAGTTCAGTTGGAGAAGTTGGGAGATTCTTTACTTGAAGCAGGATAAGTCAGTCGTAGGTGCAGAAATCCCAGGAATACAACCTTTCCCTCCACACAATGCCTCCTCCTCCTCCTATGCTTCTGAGCACTTGATCTGGAGACTTCTTCAAAGCACCGTAGCTCTCCCTTGCTCTTTTCTTGCTCTCTCTCAATGGCTCATTTTGTCTTGGACACTTAAATCTGATTGTCTTCAGCTCCCACTCAGGAAGACCACACAGGGAACGATTCCTGCATCTTTTGGTAACGGGACAGAAGAGCTACACCTGCTGAAGGGCTTGACTTCTGCACAACTGTTAAAACTCCAGGAACTTTTGCCCTTAGCCATCTCTTCTCTCCTCCTATTATCTGATGCACCAGCCACCTGTCCCACAGCTGCACACCAGCCCAAACTTAGGATTCTACTTCTACCCCAAAGCTGGTAATGCAGAAGAAATCAATGTTACCTTTGCTCCTGGGGCTTGACAGAAGTTTATTGATAACTTTTCCCCCACTCTCTGGGAAGGTTGTGTTTGCTCAGCTGCTGGCAGAGGAAAAGATTGTTTTTGTGGAGAAAGAATGTAGCAGTGTGGGAACAGGTGGCGGAGAGATACAGGGGTGTGTGTGTGTGTTTGTGAGCACTGCAGGTCAGGAGGAGTTCTCTTCAAACCAGCAAGAGAAATTGCCTGCTCCTTTCCAGAATGACAGGAGCAATTCAAATATCCGGTAGAAAGTGTGTCTCCCATTATTACTGTATTTCCTGCTTTGGAAAAACTTGTAGACTTTGAAATTCCAACACAATTGTTAAAGGCAGCAAACAACATTTATCCTTCACAAGGGAGATTCTTGGAGGTCAATTTCTTTCTCTTGCAAGGTTTTCAACAATGGCTGTTATGACAGCCCTCTTCCTATTTGTGTTGAAGGGAGAAGCGCTGCCAAGGGCTGCTTAGCTGGCCAACTCCCCTAGGCATCTACTTGTATTCCTCTGAAAAGATCAAGTGATGGATTCTCTTATTCACGGAAATATTTACTGGATCCTCTTATGCTTCCTACTGCAATGGGATTAGATTACCCATAGTGAGTTTTAACACCAGAGTCAGCATTGGAAAAGGGCAGCAAGGAAGGATCCGGCATTCCTTAGACTGTGGGTCTGTGGCAGTAGCAACTGGGCCTGCGCCTGCATGCATAGCCAGACAATGGCAGCATTGAGATAGGGATATTTCAAGAATCTGCTTGAGATCCTCATGATGCACCCACAGCGATAAACCCTCCCTGAACAGTTCATGGGCTTTATGGCCTTCTACCAGGGGTGGGTTCCTGCCAGTTCTAACCTCTTCTATAGAAGAGGTTCCACAAATCTACAGGGCCGTTTAGAACCGGTTCCAGCTGCCTCCTCCCACCCGTCTGCACATTATCAAGATGAAGAGCAAGAGGAGGAATTCTGGGAGTTGAAGTCCACAAGTCTTAAAGCTGTCAAGTTTGAACACCCCTGGGTTTTTTTTTCTAAAGGGTTAAGGGTGCAAGGGTCTTGTAACTTGACAGCTTTAAGACTTGCACACTTCAATGCCAGAGTTCCTGAGCCAACATTTTGGTTGCTAAGCAAGAGCGTTGTTAAGTGAGTTTCAGCACATTTTACAAGTTGACCACACCCACCCAGTCACATGGCCAGCAAGCCACTCCCACAAAGCAGGCCACACCCACAGAAGAGGTTCTAAATTTTTTTGAAACCGACCACTGCCTTCTACCCACTTCCTTTCACATAGGGGCTTTGGGCCACACCCAGACCCAGTCAGCTTTCTTGCTGCGCTGTATGTCTTCCCAGCTTCTGTGATTTGAGGTCTTCTAGGTCTTTCCTTTTATTTTATTTTCAGTGATGATATGGGCCCCCTTTCCCTAACTTCTTGTCCTCTAGATGTATTGAACTAGAACTCACAGAATCTAGTTAGCATTAGTACTAACTAGCATGGCAGAACATAATTCAGCAAGTTGGCCAATAATTTGGAGGAGACAATATGGGGAAGGCTGGCTAAAGACTTTTCAGCCTGTATTAAATCAGTTGACAAAGATATGCTGGAATGAAAAGGAATTACAGTCAGAATGTACATTTGGCTGTACCTGCCACACACCTGTTTCCCCTTCTGTCCAAGTGTACATATGCCTTGTCAGGATGTCTCAGCTTGCCTCATCCTCCATTGGTTCCATGACTCTTTCTCTTTCCTGAGTGCATGAATACAAACAGCAAAGGAAGGTAAAAGATAAGGAATTCAGCATCACCATCAGAGCTTTTAACTGTTGGCACTATAGGAAGAAAGATTCTGGAAAAAATGAATTTGGACCAGGAATGTGAAACATGGACACAGAAAGGTACAACCCAATAAAATATGGGGCATAGAGTACTTTTGAGTTGTGTCGACGGGTTGTTCTTTCAAGCCAGACTCCATATAATTCTCATCAAATACTGCAAAGGATTGAGGTAAAATAGAGATGTTGAATTCCTGCCCTGTTTCTACTCCGATTTCTTCAGACCATTTTGCTTTATTTTCATATTCTTTATGATCTCATTTCCAACTTTCATTCTCCCTTTATTTTTTTAATTGCCACTTGCTACTTGTGTTCCTTTCTTCTTCTGGTGGCCATTTTCTTTATTTTCTGAGCCCCATATGTTGCTGTCTCAAGCCCCTCTCTGGCACTGGCGGCCAACTAGAGAGGGCTTTCTCTGCGAAGTGCCTTAAGATGGCCTCCTCCTCCTCTGTTCATGGAGGTCATCACATAGGAGAATTTGATGAGGAGCCAGGGAAGAGTAAGAGGGAAAAAATGTCCACTTCCTTACAGCTTACATTTTAAACAGTAAAGCTTTTGCCTTTTGATCAAGGTTTGAGGATTAATAGGTTCCACCCCCTAAAAGAATCTGAGAATCCCTGTTTACAGAACCAGTGTATTAGAAGATACACCAAGTGGAATACGCCAATCTATTACCTCCAGAAATCTCATGACATCTTCAAAACTATAGATGGCCAACTTGCTCTATGCCAAAGTAGCACAGTAAATCTGACCGCTTGATTAACATGGTATCACTAATGATTACATTCCAGAAGTAATTTGAGAAAAGGTTGACATGAAAGCGACCGAACCCAGAGGGTAAACAGCTAGCAATCAGAATCTCAGCAACGTGTTTGAAGATAAAGACTTCAAATAAAATGAAAGTAGGGAGAGTACTCATGTCCTTGGTCTTTCCAGAATGACCACCTGTTGCAATAGTTTCACTGTTTGCAATACATTTTATAAGTAAGTCAATATCAATTTGTGCTACCCAAGGATTAAGATATTGCTTGTTTTATATTTTCCACTGTGGAATGATAGCAGTTCCTTGGACGTATATCTTTTCTTCTGTTAGCAGATACGGTAATATTGTCTGTGTAGTATTGTATCATGGAAAGAGGAGAAAAGAGAACAGATTTCTATTCTGAAATAGGATTTGCCCAAAATTTGCTCAACAGAACCCCCTTCACTTGTTAAATGCTTGTTGTCAGAAACACATAAGTACAAAATTTATGGAATCTGAGCACTGGTAAACATGCTAAGCATGCACTGATGCCATATGTATAGGTTACGGTTTCATGTATGTATTATAATATTAATAATTAACATGTCCCTTCCCATAGAAGGAGAGGCCAAATGCATAATTAACATCCCAATGGCTTGTTCTAGACACCTATGGGTGGGACTGAGGACAAGTGAACTGAACTGAGATGATTGTGACTTAAACTTAAAACTTAAAACTCTTGGAAAAACAATAATGATTCCAACTTTATGCAGCTCGATGCCCACTAGCTTCCATGGGCCTAACCGACAAAATTAGTATATTGTATTTGGAGGGTACCAATCCACTAAATCCACTAAATCTGTTTAGCTGCCTGGCTGCCTAGCTGACATTTCTAGGTCATCAACAATTCTGGTCAGCTTAACATGCAAAAAACAGTAACTAATCAAAGTAACACAGAATTTGGAGGGGGAAACCACCTACTCCTCACCCCCAACTCCAGAAATAAAAACAAACAAAAGGCTTACTTGGTGAAAAAGGCAAGTTTTAAATACACTTTTAAAGGCCTCTAAGGTGGGGTCATGTGAATCTCTCAGATAATTTTGTTCCAGGGGGCAGATGTAATAAAGATGGCTCATCTATTGGGCCTTAGTAGAGGACATTGCTTAACTGATGGGCCCAGGACTCATCTACCAGATCTACCCATGGACAGAAACCATGGGAGGCAGATAGCTTCTGAAACAGCCAGGCCTTATGCCCTGTAGAATCTTAAAAATAACAACCAACTGCTTGAATTGCAACTGTACAGGTTTCTAGGAAAGTCATTTCTGTTGGGAAAAAAGTAGCTGGTTCCATAATCCTTTATTTACTTGATAAGAGAAATGTACAGCTTTTTTTTCTTTTTCTTTTTTTTTAAAGCATATCTCCCTCTCAGGATCTCCTTTTACAGTACCCTGATCTTCCAACATTTGCAAGAGACAATATTTTCTCTCTTTGGCATGTGGTGAAAAACATTTTCTGCAAATTCTTGCATACTGTTATAAAAGGACAAGCTAGATGTTTTCCATGCCTGCTTATATGGCAATTCTAGAGAAAGCTGACTTCTAAGGATTCTATGTATTTACTGTTAAACTGGTGCCCAGACTTTCCAGTCATCCAGGCAGCTTTCAGCACCCTGTCTGAAATGGAGCTGACTGCAATGAACTCAGTAAACCAGCAATACATCATTACTACTGCGCATACATAACAGTTCAGTATAGCCATGCTATGTCCTTTGCTCATCGGTTCAAAATAACATCAAGCTTCTTTTAAAAAGCCACACACCTGTTTTTGGGGGGATTTTCAAAATTAACTTTAAACAATGTGGCAAGATCAGAAAAAGTCAAAGTTACAATAAGAGGATCAAAACAACAGAAAGTCAGTACTGAAGAGGTAGAACAGTCACTCAAGCACTACAGCAAAATATAATTATAGGATAACTTTCTTAGGTCTGTTAATGAGGTTATACAAGAAGATAATAAGCTGTTGCAGAAACCTTTTAAACAATAATAAGAAAATAATAATAGACCTGCAGCAGGGAGATCCCTTGATTTAAGGATGGATATCACTCACTGTCAAAACTAATTGACTAGTGCATGGATGTCATTCACTATAATACTGGCCACTGAACGGTAGGACTGCCAGATCAAAACTGCAGAAATATGGATGATCATTAAATGGCATCAAAGTATTGAATGGTTTTCTTCATCTATTTACTAAGGTCAGAAATGCAGCCTGGAACTGATAGCCCTGTGCATGAATGAGGAACCTGGAGCCCATTTCTTATCAGCTCCAGACAACATCACAAATGATCAGTTCTGATGTGATGTGGAGTTGGAAGATAGAATGTTAATGTGCACTGTGTCCAGTTTATTGATCATTTCACAAGATATACAAACTATTATTTTATGGATACCAATTGTTTATTTTTAAAATATTTGATTTGTCTTTTTTTTACTGGGAATAATCTATTTAGATAGAAAATCATGGAACAGTTGTACAAATGCCTATATATGTTTTATAGAACTTAAATGTTTCTAAAAGGGTTCCTTCACCATCAGGAGGGACACTTATAATTCCTTCTGCCTACTTTCTCCTGCTTGGATATCTAGGATTTTATGAGTATGTCCACTAATATTCCCACATACCCATTTATACTTTTAGAAATAGCTAAAATTCCAGACTTTCAAAGCACCAAATTATCACTTTGAAAATTCTGTACTTTACCTTTTGTTAGTATTTAGTATTTAGTATTTAGCCTTTCCCTTTATATGTAAAGCGCTGGGCAGTTTTCCAGCAAATGAATGTTCTGAAGTTAAAAAAAATGACGATCCTGTTCTGTTGTATTCCTATGAATACAACTTGAATTCTAAAGCGGTGAAACACCTGGGCAAAGGAATTACAAAACCTACTTTTAAGAGACAATTCCTGTATTCATTAACATGTCACAACCAATCAGTTATTAGAGACTTTGTAGTAAATGAAATTACCACATTTTCAGGAAACAGAAGAATGATTATGATGAACAAGAAACCTTTTTTTCATTTTTTTCTAAAATTTAGAAATATTTATAACTTAAGAGTTATACATAAGGCTCACTGATCAATGAATAATTACTCTTGGATTTTTGGCGTAAAAAAGAGGTACATGCCCAAATACTATAAATCACCTTCATGTACATTTGTACATTCAGATGCAATGAACATATATGGCTGAAAGAGAAGTATAAACCATCCATTTATGCAGACACTATATCCCGGTTTTCTTTGTTAATCTTTTAAAGATAGGCTTTATGAAGGCTTAGTCCAGTTTTTCATAACTTGTTGTTTTTGTTTGTTTTTATTATTATTGTATTGAGAGTTGATAGACTGTAGGTTCTAGGTATATTTCAGTAATTATAAGGTAGCACGCACTTGTTGTCTAGAGCTTACCACAAGCAGAATGTAGAAGAATATCATGTCAAAAGAAGGTTTGCATCTGTGTCCTAGTCTATTGATTGATTGATTGATTGATTTTATCTATCAAATTTATATGGTTGCTCTTATGACCCCAGGAGGCATACAGCAAAAACTATAAAAACAGAAATGTCAAAAGCAATCAGATTAAGAAGCTAAAAAGCATAACACACAAGATATTATATCAGCAAGGGAGCGACCTCAATATTTCACTGGTCCCCTGGCCAGATGACTTAGCCAGGTCCTGAAAAGCTTGCATAAAATAAGTAGGAATGGGGATGGCCTCACTTTGGAGTCAGGAGAGGGAACAATGTTCCATAAGCAAGCACCACTACTCATCAAGGATAGTTCACTGACAGATGGGACTTGTAAGATGTCTCTCTTTCTGGCTCTGATGAGATGGACAGATGTAATCCAGGAGACGCGATCCCTCAAATAACCCAGACCCATGCCATGAATGTTTTAAAGGTCAAAACCAGCACCTTGGACCTGGAAACAGACTGGCAACCAATGCAGCTCACACAGCAGAGGTGCCTGTGCCACTGCATTTTGCCTGTGCCACTGCACTTCGCACCAGCTGAAGCTGCCAGACACTCTTCAAGGGCAGCCCATGTACAGCACATTACAGTAATCCAATTAGGAGGTGATTAGGGCAGGGGTGATTGTGAGCACAACTCCTTAGTCCAGGAAGAAGGCACAACTGATGCACAAAATGAAGCTGTGAAAAGGCTGTTAGCCACAAGTTTATGAATAGGAGTCATGAATCCAGGAGGAGCCCTGGGCTGCGTACTGGGTCTCTCTTGGGCTGTACAATCCATCCAGCAGGAAAGATGCCATAGTCCTGAAACTGGCAGGACCCAAAACCCAGACCCACTCAGTCTTGCCAAGGTTCAGCTGAAGCCTGATGTTTTTCAGATCCTCCCAGCCTCCAGACACCTCCGGATTTTTTGTGAAAATAAGTGCCTCTAAATTGAATAGGACTCCTTCCCAGGTAAATTTCAATGGTATGCTACAAATCGCTTCATCTAAAGCAGTGGTTCTCAACCTGTGGGTTGGGACCCCTTTGGGGCTTGAATGGCCCTTTCACAGGGGTCGCCTAAGACTATCGGAAAACACATATTTTCAATGGTCTTAGGAACCGAAACACCAATTTTATGGTCGGGGGTCACCACAACATGAGGAACTGTATTAAAGGGTCGCGGCTTTGGGAAGGTTGAGAACGACTGATCTAAAGTGATTCTCAAAATTATTTCTCAGATTCTATATTAATAGCATCTTCCTAGGACACATTGTGTATTTTGTATCTATTACTTGATTATTGCAGGATAATATATTTATGACACTGCATTGCAGAATCTAGAAGAATTATGGCCACAATTCATCTCTATCCATCTGTATCCTTTTAAAAAATCATTATATTTATTTAGTAATAAGGTCCACAAATCCATCTTGAATTGGTGTTATGTTGCCCAAAAGCATAATGCCCTGTAAACAATCAGCCACGTTTGTACACAAGGAAAGACACGTTGTGCAGTGCCTGTAAGACATTTGGGTCTTAAAGATGTCACAAATATAACTGTGTCAACTGCTTTTTGCTTAAGGTCGTAACACTTGTAAACAGTCAATGTGGTCCCTGTCCCCGGTAGAATGAACACACTAGATATGCTATATTCCAAGTTTATTTTCCTTTTAGGAAGTGAACACATAAATATTAAAGGCATCTCTTCCTTACATAAACAATACCCAGTCTCATCCCTGTTGCTAAGATTGTAAACCAATCAATAAACAAAAATGGTCATATCTAAAGCTAGACTAATATGAGAGCTCCATATGGAATGGCCTGTGAACATTGTTGGGAAGGATCAGCTGTTGCAAAATGTACAGGCCTGTCATATAAGAAATGTGTCACTATAAGCAATCAATGCCAGTGTTTTGACATCTGCCTCTGCTCTGCTGGATACCATTCTGTAGGATAGCTGTAGTCCTGAAAAATCTACCTCAGTGCAGTGGTGAAATTCAAACTTTTTTACTACCAGTTCTGTGGTTGGCTTGGTGGGCGTGGCAGGGGAAGGCTACTGCAAAATCTGCATTTCCTCCCCACTCCTGGGGGAAGAATATTGCAAAATCTCCATTCTCACCCCATTGGCACTGCATGCCAGTGATGGGATTCAATTTTTTTTTACTACTGGTTTTGTTGGTGTGGCTTGGTGAGCATGGTTTAGTGGACGTGGCAGGGGAAGGATACTGTAAAATCTCCATTCCCTCCCCACTCAGGGGAAGGTTACTGCAAAATCCCCATTCCCTCCCAATCAGCTGGGACTCGGGAGACAGAGAATAGATAGGGCCAGCCAGAGGTGGTATTTGCCGGTTCTCCAAAATACTCCAAATTTCCACTACTGGTTCTCCAGAACCTGTCAGAACCTGCTGAATTTCTCTCCTGCCTCAGTCCCAACACAGAAGCAGGAGCTAAGGTATAGCGATCTGCAGGACAAGGGTACTAAGGGATTCAAGCTGCATAATCTGCTGACCTACGGACTGAAGGTGTCCAAATGAACTGCCTGGTTGCTCTTTTTCATCCTGAGATTTCAGAGGGGTTGTGAGTCCACATGCTCACCGCCTTTTCCAACTAGATTGGGCCAGCTCCAAAAAGCCAGCCAGCAGCCACCCTCCAAATACAACACGTGCACTCAAATGGTCGAGCTAACTTAAGTTTAGGATCCTTAAAACTAAAATTCCATTTTTTTGAGGGAAATAACGTGGTAGCTTTTATTGGCCCCTTTCTTATAGCTGTTTCCTTGCACCTTATAGAACTGGAGAGATATAGAATATCTTCCTCCCCGAGTAACCGCAGCAGTTCCCAACAAAACAAGGATATTTATAGGGTTTCCGGAAAGATTTCAGCCCTGGCCTCATTTCTACAAAGAGGCGCTGCAATGGAGCCCATGAGACTGGGCCTGAGGGAAGCACTTCCATCCCCCTCCTGGGTTTTGTTCCTTGGAGGAAAGGAGAAACCCAGGCGGACTTCGCAGGTGGGGCGATGCATGTGCCGGATTTCTTTCACCTCCCGCAAGAACGTCGGCACCCACCAATCGGAAACCGACAAGCTGAAACCCTACTAAATTTTACCCAATAAGAAATACAAGGAGGGGCGTGGTCTCGATTTTGGGAGTTGGGGGTGGGGGTGGGAGCAGAGTAAGCAGATCCCAGAAGGTGTAGCCCGAGGAACGCGCACGGCAAAGGAGAGGCGTGGCTTGGCTCGGAGAGGAGGCGTGTCCTGCGGTCGGGTAGGGGGAGTTCTTGCGCGTGAGGCGGAGTCCGACGAGTTGGGTTAGGTTGGGCTGGTATGCTGCTGGCCAAACAAGGCGACGCTGCCGAGCGGCGATGTGTGTGTTGCAGCTCGAACTCGGGCAGGCTCGGTGATTGGTCGTGGCGCGCTCGTGCCGGCGGTTGCTAGGCTCCTGTGCGCCGCCCCTCCCCCAGGTACGTGTCGCGCGCCGTCGCGCTTGCTCTGTCGCCTGGTCTGTCGGTCACTGTGCCGGTGGCGGGTCCCGGGAGGGAGCGGCCTCCTCGCGGGCCGCACTTCGGAAGGGCTGGCGGGGCGGGGTGGGCAAGGAGCGCGCGAGCCCCGTGGTAAGTGAACCCGGGCGCCGGAGAAGCTTTGTAAAAGGGGGACGAAGGCATCGGTGGAAAGCTGGGGTTGCGGGACTCCGGGAAGTCCTGAGGCCTCCCGGCGCCCCGGATTAAGTTGCAGCGGTTGGCGCTTTTGGCGTTCTCTCCCCCCCGCCCCCATCCCAAGGCTCTGGCGCCTCTTTTCCCTCACAGCCGCGTCCCGGTGGATCGGCTTCCCCTGGTGATCTTCGCCGTGGCTCTATCACCTTGGGCCTGGGCCGCTGCCCTCTCGGCCGAAGGGGCGTGTGGCGGTGAGGTAGCCGGTCAGCGGGGGATCCTTGAATGCCACCGATACAAGCTCAGCAGGTGCAGGTGGCCTTTGGCCATGGATGGTGGGGGGGTGTTGTGCGCTGAGGTGCCTCGGAGCTGGGTTGGCGAGGCTTGGTTGTCATTGGCGGGGAAACAGTGGGAAATAAGAACTTAGGCTAGGAAAGTGAGCAGTCTGTCCTTACAGCCGAGGTGGGGTAGCTCTTGTTTCTTTGCCGTTTTTAGTGACTATTGCAGGCCTTTCTCAGAAACGGTGCAGCTGTTTCTCTTGGTGAGGAATAGATGTTTTTGATAATATGGTACTACTGAAACAGGCAAGATTTTAGGTTTTGCCCAAAAGTTCGGGAGGTATCCAAGATAAGAGACTCAAAAAGGGGTTGGGAAATTGTTAAAAGGTTCCATTGCATACTATATGCCTAATAGAATATTATAACATTCATTTGCAATGTTCAGAGTTCACAGCCACTGTAATTTGGTTTAGATAAAAGTATTCAGCATTATGTCTCTGTAGGCCCTCCAACAATTTTGCAAGATAGGAAACCACGAAATATAATCCTTTGCTGTCAGTAAAGTATGTACTGGTTGGCTTGCAGCTGTGTAGCTAATTTTTACAGTTGGAAGTACTAAGGGCTTTTTAAGTGCTAGGCAGGAGATAGTGTTTTCCTGTTGGCGCATGTTTATATATTAAAGTTACCTTCATGTTTGTGGCCTGGAGAGTTAGACCTGCAGGGATCATTGACAAGTTAAATGTAAGTTTGTTTAAAAAGATCGATGTATTCACCAGAGGTTCTATTGATCTGTAAAGTAATGTCTTGGAATCGTTATTCTTGTAGGTAATGCTGTCATGATACCAGTAAGTGCTGGTATCCACCATATGGAGAATGAACATTGCATTTCAAAAGCTGAATTTAGTTCAAGCATTCAGCTAAATTTATAAATCCTCTGTGTATTTAGAAGCGATACGTAAGGGCATGTTCAAATAGTGACTTTCTTAACTAATGTTGTAGTGGACGTTTCCCCCATATTGCACTATTTCCACAATTATTTGTTCTGGACGTATGATTGTGTACAGAACCTATTTACACTGATTGTAGGAATTAGACCCTGATGCTTTTGCATAGTTGATCTTTTTAAAGATTTCCAAAATACCAGCAGTTGAGGCTTAAGTATGTATTGTGGACTTGTTTTCTGGGGAAATAACTCCTAATATAAATGTTATTTGAAATGTTGCATTCAGTGTGCAAAGTTACGTTTCCAGGAAATAATACTGAAAAGCCTTGTTTATCATGCATGTAGCAAAAATACAGCAAAAGAAATAAAATCCTTTAAATATATGTGTTGATAGTTTAAACCTAATTAACTGCTCAAACAATTCCAATAAAGGCCACAGCAAGATCTATTAGAGAAAATTTTACAGTAGATTTTTAACTACCTTAATAAAAGAGAACTTCAAAGCATGATTGCAGCAAAAGTTTAAAAATCTTATGCAAAGTTTTCAATTTTTAACATGAATGCAGAGTAATTAAGAAAAGAAAAGAGGTAACTAAAGTTTCTTTTTTCCATAGAAAGGCAACTGTTTTTTTTTTTTTTTGAAAATCTGGAATGACCTCAGGGTTTACATTTTTATGTTTTGTGCTGGAGTTGACCCTTTGACAGAGTAAGCAGAGTGATTTTCTTTGTTGTGTTCTTTTTCTCCATTAATATTTCACAGAAAAAAGTTACTATGTAAACAGCTTCCACGTCAATTCATACCTCATTTGCTGATTTTTAGATTGAAACATTTCAGTACATGAATTCCTAAGATGCTTGTGTTCTATCTTGAAATTATTTGATTCCCTTATAAATTATGTTCTGAACTTATGTTGATTTGAGAGGCTGGCTCTGGTAGCAGTTTGCAAATTAAGAAGATATTCCAAGAAGGCAAGTGAAAAGAAAGTTTCAGGAGCAAATGCTGAATTCAGAGTTAATAGTAAACTAAAGCATTTATTTATTTACAGTAGTCTCTGCTGTTATGTTTGCTTAAACATTTGAAGGATAGATGAGACCAAAACGTTTTTTCAACTTTCCATTTCTAGTAGAATTGTTCATAGAAGGTGAGTGTTCTTTCTCTAACAGAGAATGGTGTAGTAACTTTATTCCAGCTGTTCTCTCTGTGATATGTGGTTATATTTTTTTCCCCCTTGTGAAGGTGTTCTTGTGATGAAGGGTTATAATTTTGAGGTCTCTCTTGGACTCCTGGCTAATATATGAAATCAGAAAATGATGGTATTCAGCTGTCTAGCTTAAGGCACTGAATAATTATGTGAATAATATTAATTATAAATTACTTGGGACTTCAGTGGAGTTATTGGTAAAATGGCAAGTCAAAGGCGGTAAAATTATGTAATATTTTATATTGATCTGCTTTGATAAGAAACAGTTCTATAACTTTTACTGCCTAAAATATTAGCAGGTTTATTATAGAATATACTAACATTTTGTGTTAACGTTCCAAATGAATAAAAATGTTTTGTGGTAAACTCTTGGTTCAGCATAAGGGTTTCACTTGCTTGTGCTAAGAGTCCTAATAATTTAGGACAAAAATCATTCCTTAGTTTAGAGACAAGGAAAGTTCTTCAATGTACAAAAAATAATTTTCTGAGTACCCAGTGCAAGATGTTTTATGGATCCCCATTTTTACTAAGACGTAACTATTTTAAATGTGTTACTAAGCCACATTCTCTTCTCAAATGCATAGAGAATGAGGAAAAGTTCCTTTTAATAAAGATGTATGGTGGTATGTTGGCTGTAATCTGCATACCAATTATGTTTGTTCATTAATTCCCAAATGGTGTATCAGTTGTGCTGCATACTTGCTATGCTAAATTAGTTAAATATAGAGTACCGTGTATACTTAGTATGCACACAGACTATAGGCTGCTGCTGCATATGTTCTTATCTCTCTCCAATAAGACTTCACTGGAGGTTTGCAGTTCTATGTAGTCTCTGCATTCATTATAATTTGAGCATGCAGTCACTTCCAATTCTTGACATGCAGCAGGATTCTTGCCTTCAAAGGAAGCTGCCCATTGTATTCAACCAGATGGCATGCCATGAACACTGATGTATGCAAAAATGAAGGAGGTGTTCCTTTGAATGAGCATATTCCTATGCATTCCAACATAAATCCTTTTAAGTCTAATGTTTAGAATATTTCTAGTAAAAAAATGTACATTTTTTTCAGACATTTGGGAAGCATTGCACCAATTTAACTAGGTTGATAGGGATTAATGTAATGCTTGTTTGTGTATGAATCTGGTTTCTTGGTTAGCTTATAAATCACCATTGCACAGAAATAATTCAAAATAACATGGCTCTTAGAATCAATCCAAAGCATTGAAGAGTAACAGTATACTGGCAAATTTCTTTTTTTATTTCATAATTTGGGTAAAGACAAAAGAGTTCCATACACATTTTGCTTCTATTTTAGCTACCTTGTAACTCTTCCTTGACTAAAATGTGATGGGAACTTCAGCATATAAAACCAAGAATGCTTTTGTAGTATAAATATTCTGGCCTGTTTCAGTAAATCCTTCAAATGGAAGAGAAGCCTTATTTTTTAAATGTGAAGTTGATAAGTTGTTGAACTCTGTTGTTAAACATCAACACATGTGAAGTGCTTTTTTTGTTTCTCTCGAAGAGACACTGGTATATTTCATATCTCATTCCTATTTTTTAAAACTTCCCATACATAATTACTTGATTCTCTACAAGATTTAACTGGCAAATTGCTATCATAAGACTTAATTCATAATGGAAGCTCTTCCAAAATAATATATGAAGGCAATAATCATTGATTGTAAGTAGCTTTAGAAATCACCATCACAACAAATATGATAGGATTATTGCAGAGCTGGTATCTTAGAGTCTTAGAGCATATAGAGCTTTTATATACTTGATATTGCAGTGATAAATGGACTACTTAATTATTGCAAAATATTTATATAGCTATCTTGGGATGTGTTATCAGTGTTCTTAATTACTACAGAAAGAAAAAAGGTGCAAAATATAGGTTTTCATACCGACTATTTCTTTGTGAATTGACTTTTGAATGTTAATCATGAGAGACATTGAATATATCTTGACATTTCACTAGCCACAGCAAGTGAATATGTATCAGCACATATTCATTGTCTTACATGGATGGCACTGCCAGAAAGTCATTGCACCAAGAAATAAATTATATAGTCTTTAAAGACATCAGACACTGGTAACGAAGGATAAATATATCATTTTTGGATTTTCTGTTAATTTCTCTAAGATTCTTGAGTAAATTGCTACCTGTTCCCCCCCACCCCTTACTGTTATCATATAATCTTGGTAGTTAATGTAAAGAAAATCAATTAAAATTTAAAGCATTTATGGAATAAAGAGATAATGTCTCATGTATAGAAGAACAGTGAAAGAATAGAACTGAGTATTGAATGTTTTATCATTTTTTTAAAAAATTAGGCAGCAAAATCTCCCAGGATCTGTAGTGGGAATTAGAAATATTTATGTCAGTCTAATGTATAGAACCAACATGATTAATAAGGGGGCATTTTTGTTACCAGTATATAGATCTACAAAGCAAATAGTCAATGCTTTGCCCATGGACTTCCTGAAAGCATTTAGCTTCCTACTACAGGAATATTGTTGAATTAAATGGATTCCTGGTTACTTTTCTGTTTTAATTTGTAAACGTCTTTTTACAGAAAACTGTATCTAAGGGTCTAAAGTATATAATTTCACACTCAAAAGATCTGTTTTACCTAGTTCAATACTTGTCAGTGCAGAGTTGTGAGGTTACACTGTCCCTCATTCAAGTTTTACATTGCTTTAATGGAATTAAATAAGCCATTTCTACAAAAAAATCATTTAAAGATTGAATCAATTTTGTCTTTTGTTTTAATAGAATTAAATTCATTGAATTCATTAAATTAAATTCTGAATTAGAAGTAGTAACATTCTTTACTACAATTCTTTAAAATGCCTTCAAAAGTACATGCAAAAGCCAATGT